CCGACAAGGTTCTTTATTTCAGGTATGGGGTTTTTGAATTTTTTCCGATTTTACTAGGAAAATTTTGCCTTTTTTTCAATTTGCTGCCTTTTGTGATTTTGTGTAATTGCGGTCACGCAACATTTTGGCAGATTGAATTCCTTGTTTTTTGAGAGAGAGAGATTTGACCTCAGTTCAATTTTAAAATGAACAATAATAAGTTCGATTTCATTCTCCTAAAACTCATGTGAACACGTGAATGAGTGTGGTAGTATCAGTGCTTCGAAGCAGCGGAAAAGATGGAAAATTAAATTTTTTTTAAATAATTGCCCCCAATGTTTTTATGTTTGTTTATTTTATTTTTTATTAATTTTTTGTTTTTGGTGGCTCACAGAAAATCATTGGTTAATGCTCCGCTTTTTCAGAGAAGTTTTCCTCAAAGACATTTTTGCATTGTCCTATTTCTGGGTGATAAACAAAAGTTTTAGCACAATTTCCGCGTGAAAACTTGTGATAGATCTTTGGAAAATCCGTACGAATTTTTGAAAATTTACGAAAAACTATTGCAGTGACTTAGAAAGATTCAGGATGGGGGTTAGATGCCATCTCATGACTTTTCTTCCAAATGAAAGATTGTCCTTAGCATCTATCGCAGCCGAAATTATTTGAAAATTCTCATTTTAGGGGTAATTTCGATGAAGAAGTGTTGCATGGAGATTCGAGAGTGACGTGGTTGGTCGCCCACTACGCGACTTGGTCCCCAGCTTGTGACCAGTTCGCACCGACGTTCCGTCGCCTTTCACACACCTACGGCTGTGACTTTTTCAAGGTGATTTTTCACGTTATTGATGTTTTTCTTCTGAATAAAGAAAAAAGGAGAATTCAGTGGAATTTTGAGGACAATGAAGTTATGATGGCATTTGCTAATTCTTCTACGGAGAATCTCGTAATAATAAATTTTTTTCTTGGTTCCATCAGTTTCTTCATCGGAACAGGATTATGATAATTGCGTTATAGCGAACTAATCTTCGTTTTTAATCTCAGTAAATCGAAGTTTCGACGTGATGGTGTGTGCATGGGCCATGGACATTTTTAAAAATCGGTCCAATGTTGGAAACCCAGCTTGTGTATATTATTGGAAAACCGTCAAAAAATGTGAATGCTACTCTTGTTTTGCACAGAAAATTTAGGATGTCAGGAAGCATGAAGCTATGATAGAAATGCATCTGCCTTTATTTTGGAATTTTAAAATGGCTGCTATAAAGTTTGTTTGTTTCAGCCGATACTTCAATTACATTACTGTATTCGAAGGAAATATGAAAATAATGAGACTGAAATAAAAGCATTGTTTCATATGTTGGATTTTTTTCTTTTATTCATCAAAGGAAGGTAAAAATGACGACAATTTTTCACAAATCTATGGTGAAAGTACTTCAAAGTTTTCATCGTCTGTTCCTCACAAAATGTCAGTCTTCCATGCTTGAAGAAACATGAATGCCATTATAAAGAATTTTTATCAGGTCCCTAAGATATCGTTGTAATTATATTGTATTGTTTATTGTTTCGTGCTGTGATAGCGGAGAAGTAGAAAAGTTGAGAACACCAAGCGTTCCAGTAGAAATTTCATAAATCATGCGTATTAATTTTTTTCAGTTTGGCAAGTTGGATGTGACGAGGTATCCTGAAACGGCCAAGGAGCAGCATGTGTCGGATTCGCCGTACAGTCGACAGTTGCCGACCCTGAGTCTGTTCAAGGGTGGAAAAGAAGTC